CTTGTTACCCATAAGTTCCTCCTGCTTGCAAAATAAGTTCCTTATTTTGCATTCTGCACATGCCTTGTTACCCATAAGTTCCTCCTGCTTGCAAAATAAGTTCCTTATTTTGCATTCTGCACGTGCCTTGGGTGCACATACATGAAGAAAATTCTTGTTCAACTCTTACTTTGAAACTTTTTAAAGGTGCCTGATGGATAGTACTGAGAGGCTGCCCTCTTGCTTTCTCAAGATCAGGTCCTTCAGAGTGTCTCAAAGTGGACACACAGACGTAGTACTGTAGTTACTTCAGAAAGTCTTGCCCAGGGATTTTGTTTTATAAATGTTATAGATGGCACATGGTACCATTAGGATTAATTAAAAGCATTTTGAGAACCTCACGGTAAATGAATCAGTGAATCTGCACTACCACATAAGCATACTAACATATTTTATCATTTTGGTGCTACTTTTGGAGTAGGGTGGGTTTTCTCCCAGAAGCCCCTGGTTATTTCACAGCGAGTCAGGCAGAATACAACTGTACCTTCTTGGAAAGTCTACCATTCCCCGTGTCTCCAAATAAGGTTGTGAAAATCATGTAGCCCAATGACTTCATATTATAGCAGGGATGTATTTTAGCCATTTTCAGTGTTCCCGGCTCAATGCACTTCCTATTTATCCACAATTCTGAGAAACCGCCATGTGCCTGCTAAATACAATATAGTCAGCGCTAACACAGTTTGTAGCTATTTGCCTTAGGGAGGTCCCAAACTGAGTTTGCCCAGTTAGCTACAAGAAAGAAAAAACTTTGTAAACAGTGCACGTTAATTATGAGTTTGTTGAAAGGCAACAAAGATGAAACTTCACAAAGCCATGCTTGAAATCATTTTCACAGCAGAACTGTATTTCATACATTATACTGTGCTCGGCATCTACGGAGATATGCAGTAAGTTGGTATATTTTTGTGGATGCAAAGCACATTCATTGTCAGATTTGCTTTAAAACATTAGGTGAATTTGGATTATTATATAAATGGCAACATGTTCAGCTGTAACTCCCCCTCCCATTTTAGAAACAATATTTCATCCTAAGCATAGTTCCAAGCCTGGATTGGTAAAATGAAATACAGTTATAACCCATGAATACCTTCAGGGGGAAAATAACACTCAGGATAGGTGCTGGTTGTGCTACAGGGACAATCGGCCTGAAATGTAATGCCAGGGCCTTCCACAGAAATTATTCATAATGAGCTCGCCATGGAGGTGTAACGTTACTTCCTGTTCTCTCTCAGTAGATACAGGAAGTCTTCTTGTGGATGGCAGCTTACCATGGCTATTACAGAAATGCCTTCAGTTATGTTGTCCAGTTCTGGCTGAACCTGGGGTTAAATTATTTCAAAGGAATGTGGGCCAGGACAGAGGTCATGGGTTGTGTCAACACGTCTTTAGAAATGTATTAACAAGTTGCACCACATATATCATTGATAGAGAGGAAGGAACCTTAGACCGTCAGAAAGCCTGCGCTGCCTCCCAGCCTATCTCTCTTTCCGATACTTCTATACACCTTTTTCCCCTGTGAAGTTGTGAGTTTCAGTAGTGTTTGGTGTGTGTTACTCAAAGAAAGGAAGAGCAAATAGGAGTGCCCACAGAAATGTTGCACTAACAATAGGCCTAAACATCATTCATATCAAAGCTGGGTTACCCCTCAAAAGCAGTAGCTTTTTATACAGAGCTTGAGGTGCTTTGCAAAGCTTAATAAAAAATTAAGCCTCGCTACCCCCGTGTCAGGCAGGTAAGTAATATCATATCCATTTTCCAGATGGTTAAAATGTAGCATAGAAAGGTTAAGTGACTTGCCCAAAGTCTTTGAAGAAGTCAGCTGCTGTGTTAGGAATAGAATCCAGGAGCAGAATTGGGTAGAAAAAAATTGAAAAATAATTTGGTTCACATGGAACTGAAATAGAATTTTTTTGGTGGGGGAGCTGGTGGAGACTGCAGATACATGAAAAAAATAATTTGTTTTGGGTCAATATAACATGTCTTCCTTGGCCCCAAATGAAATGTTTTGCTTAATTTGGGGATGAATTAATGACTGCTTTTATCTGACCGTTTTTTCTTTGTCAGTTTAAAGGAAAGGAAATAAAAATGCCATTTTGAAACAGGAAGTTGGACATTATTTTAATGCAGGGGCGGGCAATTATTTTGGGCAGAGGGCCGCTTACTGAGTTTTGGCAAGCCATTGAGGGCTACATGATAGGCAGCCAGGGCAGATAAATATTAATTTTCTAAATTTTTTAGGGGCCCCGCGGGCCGGACAGAATAGCTTGGTGGGCTGCATCCGGCCCCCAGGCCGCATTTTGCCCACCCCTGTTTTAATGCAACTTTTCAAGTGAAACATTTTAGCATTTCTGAGTTGAAAGCAAAGTCTTTTCTCCCCGTTTTTGGCCAAAAGCTATTTGTTGAATTGTATCCATGAGTCCTAGCTTCTCTTTAACAACTGTAGGGATTGGACAACAATTCTTTCCTTGGATGATTTAAGAACACTGTTCTTAAGCCACCGTTCTTTGCTATGTGATAGTTATTGGATGGTTCCTAAAACTAGGACTGGTCGGTTAATAGGTTAAAAGATCCTACTCTACAAACCCTGCTACACAGTACACGTGAAATAAATGAAATGGTCTTAATCAGAACCGAAGAGAGTTTTCCGACTTTAGTTGCATAAGTGCAGGTCATCAGGTTAAACCAGCAGATCCAGAGGGGGACACAAAGTAGGGAGTCTGAACCCACACTTACAGGTTTGGGAAGGAGTCCAAAGGGCCAGTGGATGCTGGACAGGGGGATCCAAAGGGAAAAAAGTTTAATGGAAACTGCGCCCCCTTCTCCGCCCTCACATACTCCTATCCAGATTCTTCCTCCAGAACTGATGAACAATGACCTGGGCCCGTAGCAGGAGGAGACTGAACTGGAAGCCGTGGGCCTAGCACATGGCGGGACAGGAGGACAGAACATCAGCCAAGGGCTTGGAGGAGATGGAAGAAGAGCTGCAGCCGGATTCATTGCAGGCTGGCACATTCAGGGGTCTCACTCCTGCTGCAGAAGGGGTGAGTGCTGGGGGACGGTCAGTGAACTGTGCCAAAATAACAGTCCCAGACACTGCAGTCCTTTATCTCTAGATAACTTAGGTATGGTATGGGCAGCAGAACAAGAAGCTTTCCTCATATGAATAACTCATACCTTTTGGAAGGACTCCAAGACTTTTCACTACCTAAGTGCTCAGTCCTGCGTCCACTGAAATGAGAGTCCATTAATTTCAATGAGCTATGGATCAGGCCCTAAAGAAAGAAGTGATTGAGCAGGCCAAACAGGGAACTTGGGCATCAGACCTTCTGGATTTATTGCCAGCTGTCACATATGCCTATGCAGGGCCAGGCCTTCTTGGGGGCAGGCGGGGGTGATGTTTGCAACTGAAGGGAGGAGGATTTGGTCCCTGACTTGTACATTAATATGTGGCCTTCAGGGAAAAAGTGTCATGACAATTCAGAAAGCATATGATAATGATCAAATCATTGCAATTAAGACATACACAGAGCATTATATGAAATGCCCAGTCAAAAAAGAAACCATGCCGATTTTCGCTTTTGTATACCCTTGTCATCCACTATGAGCTCCATCAAGTTGCCTCAGTGACAACAAGACCACAGAACCGGCCCCTTATCCACAAAGAATTTCCATCTTTCTGTCAAATCAAAGATGTTAGCTGGGGTGTTGCTATTCACTCTGAGGAGCCTTTGAGTTTTTGAACACAACGGCTAACATGGTACCTGGACAGAATATGTCTTGCATCCTCTCTCTCCTGGGGAGCATCCATGCTGGGTAGGGCAGCACCTTGCCTTCTTATGGGGGAAGAACACAACTCAGCACTTGTTTTGCCAGACTACAAGGCACCTTGAAGCAAGAAACAGCTCTGATATGTCAGTCTGCTTGGCGGAGCAGATGGCTGAGCTAGGCTAAGGTCACAGATGCTCATTAATGCATTGTTAAACTAGGACAAGGTATGTGGAGATGCAGTGATTATCAGATGCAAGGGATGTGCCTGGAATGGTAAGGACTTGAGGGCCTGTTGGCAAGAGACAAGGCTGCAGTCATGGGCTTTGATCTTCCTTTCAATGACCCTGGAGTGACTGCACTGGAGTCACCATACACTGAGAAACCAGCCTCATAAATCTGTAAAATTTGTAAAAAAAAAAAAAAAAATCTATCTATCTAGATATCTATATATATCTCCTTAGGGATCATTTCCTTCCTTCCTATGCCAAAATAAAAATTAACACATGGAAAAGCTCTGGAAGGGTTTATGTTTTCCAGCCAGTATCTTCATCAGAGCTAAATCAGCAGAGCTCTGTAATACTGATGTTCACAAACCTCTCACTCGATATTGAGTCACGTATCCTATGTATTTTAGTGGATAAGCAGGACTTGAGACCGTAGAGGAGATACTGGTCTTGGGCCACACTCAGTCAAACGCAAGCACATGCTCCACAAACCAACTGTCTGTGAATAATACACAACCTACAAGAAAACGTTAGAAAGAATCAGTCTCTATGAAATATTTCTGCTGGAAGCACTAAAATGCTCTCTGCTCAACGTGTTTTGTGCTCCTAGGAAGCAATATTATTTAGATGATGATAAATGTTTAAGTCACCTTTTTTTTATGCCGTCAGTCTTGCGTTCACGGGGCTATGGTTGAAACACTTTCAGCTTTCATTCAGAAGCCTACATTTTAGGGTTCATCTTCATGTAATTGTTTTTTAAAAAGGCCAATGCAGATTAAATAATCCTAAGAACTACTTTTTCTTACAGTTTTGCTTGAAAGATGAGGGTTTTTTTTGCAGCTACAACTCATTTTTAAGTGTGGATATTCTGTAATATAACTTGATCCTTGACATTTTGATTAGTGCTTGATGTTCACACCCATGAGGCTTCTGGCAGCTTCATGTAGCTTAAGTTAAAAAGTAAAAGGTAAAAGTATGCATCAATATAGACGGTGCACACCCACTGGTACTGCTGCCAGTTTAGTAGTATTATTGACATCAGCATCACCTAGCTTTGCACGGCACAGATTTCAACATAAAATACAACATTCCCCAAAAAAGATTAAAATATTCTATTGTATTTCCTAGTCTCCAATACTAATAGCGGATACAAAAGACACAGGATAACTAGAAAGCCGTATATTATTTTGGCCTCCCATGGATGGAAGGAAGATGTCAGTCTCTAAAGAATGAGGACTCGGACAAGTTATTCAATTGTAAGGTCTTTGGAACGGAAAGCATGCCTCCCTACGCAGTTCTCCAATGCACAGCATGTTGTGGGGAATGCCAGAAATAGAGAATAAGAACAATGATTTTAAAACAACTTCCATAAGGATTTTAAAATGTACCAGTCATTGGCACCCACAAGAAACTGCTGAAGCTCTTAAATTGCAGGAGTTGCTACAAACCATCACACTCCATCTTTACATGGGAGACTGAACAGGCTTCAAAGGAGCACCACCAGCTTTTCAGGTTTCAAAGAAGCACCACCAGCTTTTCAGGTTCCCTGTACATAGGTTAAATAAAAATCTCAATATGCATTTGCCCAACTGACCCAAATGACTGCGAGGATTTGTTGTAGTTACTTTCTCCTGTGACCACAATCCACATGAAAGGCCAGATCTTTAACAGGTGATACTTTAACCTGCTGCCGATTGTGCAACATAATCTATTCCAGAGACAGCAAGAGAGTTACGAGGTTTGGGGGAGAATTAATAAGTGAAAACAGACTGGGAATTTTTGCCAAGGCTGCCAGAATCATCTCATCCATTATTAAATGCTTCAAGTGACAAAATATCACTTCTTCTGCAAAGCCTTTTGATAATTATCCACTTAGGATGCGGAAGCACAGCAACATCCTACACTCCAACACTAATAAGCCATCTATCTGATGTACCCAAACTTTATAATCTGTGTCTAGTTTGGGTTATAAGAGCCTGATTCCCTTTAAAATCGGACAGCTTTGCAGGGTACGCAAGGCTGATTTAGCTGGCCAGGGGAAAATACCTCTTGTACAGGGGAGTTTTCTGACAACACAACTGCCTTAGGCTGTTCTTACACTACCCCACCTTCATTCATGACTTCTGGCCAAGGGTAGGGCCAGGAAGAAAAGAAGCGGACTTTAAATATGTTTGGGATGTCCGTCTCCACTGGTCATTCTAGGCTGGCAGAATGGTCTTGTACTTTTTCAATGCAATTTAGTGCAGCCTACAAGTGCAGGTGGGGATTACGGCTCTCCTGGGTTGCTCAGATCAGTGATTTTGGTTTGGCCAAGGAGAGATGTAACCCATCCTGTTTCAGATCCAGATTCAAACTCTCCAAACTTCATTTCAGAGTTGTGTAAACTGAGTTTTAGTGCCTGTCTATTAGAAGTAGAATCTTTTAAGGCTTAAAGGATACATGCCTGGCTTGAAGAGTCAAGCCTTCAGTCCTCACATTTGTGGACAGCATGTGTGGAAGAGGGGCTTCACGATCGAGCAAAATGCTCTGTGTAGAGCAAACTTGCACGTCCTGAACAGAACTGGCCCAAGCAACCCAGTGCAGTCCTATTCATTGTTCATTCCCACAAACTTTTCTCTTTCCACGACCTAAAAGTCAAGTCTGTTCTGCAGGGTTTTACTCAGATTTTTTTTTTTTTGACAAGCTAAGAGAAAAAAAAGTACATTACTCACTGCTAACCCAATATTACACATTGCTGTGGGGCTTTACAGGGCTGGTGGTGGGGAATGAGATCTGAGCAATAGTGCCTGTGAGCCAGGAGAGTCTAACCATAACTGAAGCATCTGCCACTGCCATGAGAAGTTCACTTGTGGGCTGTTACTGTCACCGGCTCTTGACCTTGTCCTTTTCATTGTGTATTTCATCATTGCACTGCATCAATCGTAAGAGACGGGATGTGAAATAAATGCCTCTGCTGGGAGATCAAGAACTTCCGTGGGCTCTGTAATGGACTCTGTAATGTCCATAAGCAATCTCATTTCATCATATTTATTCCTTCTTTGGAAAAGGAGTACAAATATTCAACATTTCAACAGAAAAACACACTATTATGAACCACCACTTAACTCCACAGTAAAGCACCTGTATTGCCACTAGAGGTCACTAAGAACAGGTTTTTACAACAAATAAAGCTCTATTAATAAGCCCTCCTGCTAGAGATGGTCATATACATTAAGATTTAACCATAAAAATCAGCCCTTGGGGTTTTTGTCCTTTTTTGCAGGCAGATAAATTTAATCAAGACATATGCCAGATGGGCAGTTCTGGAGACAAGAGTGTTTCATTCACACGAGCAGTACAGAGCACAGGGCAGAACAGGTGTGAGTGCCTCCAGGCATCTCCATCCACAGGTTTGATGGCTGGCCTGAAGGGACCACCTCCAGGAAGGAACAGCCATTTTCTCCTGCATGGTCCATTCGGTCTCCAAAAATGCTTATCTCATTCAAGCATTTTGATTCTGATCCATTTTATCCCACGTCATCCATTCGGTCTCCGACCAGTCTGCAACAACTGCAAGAGGACCTTAGCTTAGCCCTGATTCTATGCGGAGCCGAACTAACGAACCAGGCACGCTTTGCTCAAGTTTCACTGAAGTCTACCAGATCAACTGTCCATTTCTGCACATTTTAAAAGCTATTTTCCATGGCCACAGACTTTCCCAGACTTGTGCTCATTCAAGCAGTTGTTCCTGATTTGTTGAACCCGACCTGTGTCAATAAGCAAGAAGTCCAACTGAGCAGAAGCCAAGTCATCGTAAGCTGTAAAGATTCACAGCTTTTAAGACCCAAAGAACATTGTACATGATTTAATACATAATGCAAGCTATACAATTTCACTGTTACTTCTGCGTTGAACCTGATAACTTGCATTTGATTAAGGAAATCTTCCAGAAAGGCATCCAGTCTTGATTTGAAGACTTCGAGAGGTGAAAAAAATCCACTCATTTCCCTTAATGGAAAGCTCCAAAGATTAGTGGGTACAGCCAGCATTCCTCTTCCTTGGTACATGGGCCCTGCTTTTAGCTGTATTAAAATCATTTTGTTTTTATGGGTCCAGCATCTCAAGTGATCCAGACTGTTTTGTAAAATTGCCCTGACCTCAATATTATTTACCACTTTGCTAATCTTCGCATCATTTGTTCACACATTTTATCAGTACTGATTTTATATTTATTTCCAGACCATCAATGAAAGCACTTATCAGCCTTGTAGCGATCCTTGAAGAAACCCAGTATAAACTTTCCCATTCAATGACAGAGTTAGAGTTCTGTTATTGAGTTTGAATATCACTAATATTCTAATCAGAATATAATGCATCATGAAAGCAAATGCCTTACAAAAGTCTATTACATCTATGCAAACTTGTAAGTTCATGAAAAGATTAAATCAGGCTTGTTTGATGTAGTGTGGTTTTAGGAATGAG